GAATGCTAACGACTACTTTTTCATGAAGGGATAGAACGGGATAAAAACGGACGTTAATTTCGTTCGAGATGGTTAATTAAAGCGGAACGACGTAGACATCGCTGGCAGAGCGGACCGCGGACTAATGTTCATTATCAAATGATTTATGGTGGTCCATTAACTGGGCCTCTTGTTGACCTAAGAACTTCCGACGTTGTTGTGGCAAATATCGGTCCTTTCAAAGATCCTGCCACGTGACCAATTTGGCAAGATAACAAGTCCAGATTGTTCTCACGATCGTTGCCAGAACGAACAAATTAAAAGAAAGAAGCAGGGATCTCCACCGAAACGTGGAACACTGGTATTCTTCACGTCGGTATCTTTCAACATATACGTACATTTTCGTAATCCTTGTAGAAATCGGAACATGAATATTATTTTCAGAGATATTATGGATATTTATGTATTTTGAAATAGCGTCCAAATAGAGATTTATTTTATTCAGTAACATTATATTATAAAACGCGTGCTTTATTCTTGATTATTACGTACATTCAGTCTAATTATTCATTATTCATTAATTTAATTATCATTTTCTGGTTTTGGTTTTATATTTCGTGTAATAATGGCAAAGTTATTGATACCAAAATTATTTTATAATTTACCGATATTTTTCTAGCAAGATGTGGAATGAAAAAGAATTTCAGTTTATTAATAACGAAAATCTATTAATAAGTCAAAGTTTATTGGTTTATTGGTCAATTAATATAAGTATACAAAGAAGAAATAGATCGAAAGAGAATAAATTTTGTTCATGAATATATATATATAATTCCTGACGTATCAAATCGATATGCTTAATTAATGAACATGATTACGAAGCTATATCTATTGTATCGATTTCGTTATTATTATTAGATCCTCAGCACATTTTCTACCATAATGTGCTAGAAAAAATAAAATAAGAGCAACTCAATACGTTCAGCCAATAATTTGTAGCCACGACACTAAATTAATTTACAGGTTAGTCATTCTTAAACGTGTTCTCATCTTGAGGAATAAAACCACATTCTAATTTGAACCTATCGTCTCTGCAATGATATTTATTTTAATTTTTGATAGACAGGTTTTAGTACCTACGTGAAAATGGTACTGTTTCTCAAATCCCGCGGGAGGAAGAACGTTTCCAAATACATCGAGACAACTGCGCGAACCTACTCGAACCAACGAACCATGCTCCGCGTGGTGGAATTTAATAAAGTTCACTGAGCCTCGCGACGCTTCATTGAAAGCTCCTGCAGACTCTTCAATGAAAAGTATCGATCGTGTCTAATTAATTGACTTATCACGCGAGTGACGCCTTTCTTTATGAAACATCTAAGTGAGTCTGGTCTCGTCTCTCCTCGTGTATAAAGGGCCCTTCCGGGGCCGAACTTCTGCCTCCGGGGCATCGGAAATCCAATTTCAATAGAAATAAGATTTCACGGGACGCAAGGTAGGTGACGGAGGGATTCGGTGCATCGTCCTGTAAGACAAATATCGGCCATTCCGTGGCGCGTGTCTGCCAGATCGACGCGCCACACATGGGAATCTAAACGTTTCGTCAGTATCACGCGGAATCGCGGAACATTTGATATTTTTTAAAAAAACGACGCTCAAATTCTCGGAGAACGTGGACCTGAAACGTGGAACTCTCTCTCTCTCTCTTTCTCTGTCGAATTTATATCCGCGACACAAGCGGAAGAAATATATCGTTGACATTTAGAAATACCCAGCTACACGAAAATAGATTGTGTTGCAGTTTATCGTGGCTGTATCGATGATATACAGGGCGTATCGAATTTATGAGGCGTCCAATTTTAAAGGATACGAAGCCTAGTTTTATGAATTCGAACACCTCCGATCTTAAATGCACGATCAGCAACATTTTGATTAACTTCGAGCACGTTAGTATTACTGTCTGAAATTTAAGACTACGAAGGCGAATTCGAATATCTGTAATCTAGTAACGCTTCCACTAAATTGGCATTTCTGTCTGAAAGATCTTAGCAGAATATGTATAAAGCAAAGCCGATCACTGAGGTATTTAAATATTTATAGAAGCGTTTTGTGAATATATCGTATAATGTGAAACACTTTGATAACGTAACGATCTGCAAGTATAATTTCGCAGAAGTCACGAAACCGATTTTGGAAAATATCGTGTTAATGTTATCAATAATATAAACCTAGATATTCTATTGGGCTATAATTTTCTATTTAACACGTGTTTGCAGTAAATATGTTGCAACATCTATATGTATACGTATAACCTTGATTATCCTAATTTCATCACTACGACATAAAGCATAAATGCAAATTTGAAAGTTCACAAATGTATGAAACGCGCGAAATATGCAGAAACATGAAAAATATTTATAGCAAACTTCTTATTGCAATTTAGTGGGTGAAATAAATTTTCATGAAGGTTCCATTTTATGCTGTCAGATGCGTAATTTTTGTCGAAATTCCAAAACTCACATATGGTTGTTTATTACGATGCTTGTTCACCATCTGCACTTTGATTAAATTCGCACTTGTATTTGTATAACATATTACTATGCTAAGCCAGTATTAGTGTAATAAATAAACATAAATTTGATCACAGTGGGAGGCGAACAAGCATACATTTATTTGGTCTAAACGTACTATTGTTATTACGCATTGCACATAACAGGCGCGAAGGGAATATTTATCAAAATGCTCTTGGTGGTAAATGTGTTATATTTTCATGAATTTAACTAAAGAAATCGAACCTAACTGTTTCATCAGAAATATTATAAAGTGAGATAATATTAGAATCTCCTCCATCTGAATATTCTAATATTCGAACATTCTAACTATCCGAACAGAATATTATATATTTTACGTGTCTTTTATAATTGCAAGAATTTACTGAGATACGAGACAGGGGATTTTATTAAAAAATAAGAAAGAAGAAAGGCTATGAATCATATAAAAATTTATCCCGTGATAAATCAACGTTTCATCCAAGAATGATGAATCTAGGTCATAAATACTATTTATCTGCAACTTAAAATGAGATTGTGTGTTCTTGCTGAAATACTCCAGACAAAAAGATGACTTAAAATACAAAAATATACTTATGAACGTGAAGAAAATATTATGAAAAGAACACAACATTCTTAGATATCGAAGTAAGTCGATAATTTTCTTGATATTCACTTGAACACGTGCAATTTAATGTAAGAAAAATGGATGTTCCATTGTTCGAAAATTCTATTAACGTATATACATATTTTGATCGGCCCTCTCTATTGTACTCCATTTTGGAAATAATTACGTTACTTTTTACCTTCACTTCGAAATAAAATTTGCCTAACCCAACACCGTACTGTACACTGGCGAACCATAAAACGCTTCGCAGCGATGGTGTACAACGGTGGTCACGTACTTATTACTCGACAATTACCAAGTGGAACGAAGGAATTATCCGCCGACCGGGAACTTCATCAGATTGCATTAAGAAGTTCGATTTATCGAGTTACGTCCTCCAACTTTCGGATCGCCGGAATACTAACGACTCGGCAAGTCGCATTTTTATTTCTTGCCTTCTTGTTCTACCATTAACAAGCCCTTTCTTCTTCTTCTTCTTCTTCTTCTTCTTCTTCTTTTTCCCGGTCTGTCAAACTCCGTCGTTCGAAAAACGTTTGCGAACGAACTCTCCCGACGAATATTTAAACAAAGATGGAAGAAGAAACGAAGCGTGCGCAGGCAGAGGCAATTTTTCGTGAGTAAAGTTGCACGAGGAGGGGGAGAGGGCAAGTCTGGAAAGTTCCTCGGTGGAAAAGGGCGTTCTCACTCGTAGAAATGAGAACATCGCGACCTGTCGCTAATTCTTCGCTTAAAATGTAAGACCTCTCCACCTCGCTTTGTTTCCACCGTGGTTTTCCAAGGATTACAAAACGGCTCTCTCTCTCTCTCTCTCTCTCTCTCTCTCTTTCTCTTTCACGAGCGCTTGTTTCCCATCTGTCGACATGTTTGTTGGACGTTCTGTTGCATATTTAACGAGCCCCTTTTATCCGGCAACGTTTCGTTAACTAATTTTATCATATTACCGTTGAAAGTTCCACGAGCAGAGGATCTTCTTTCCGCGGCTTTTAATAATGGCAATTACTCGAAAAAAAAAAAAAAATATTTGTGCCTCAAAGCGTTTAACTTTGCTACGGTTTATCGAAACTTTACGTTTCAATCCTCTGCTATCGTTGCAACAAACGATCACGCAACAATGTTTCGTTAGTTAATTTTAGTAGTATTGTAGCGAGAACCTTCTTCTAAGAATTTGTTCATTTTATTTTAATAACGACGAGGAAAGATATTTTCTTTGCGAATTTAACTTTGCCAAGGATATTGAATCTTTACGTTATAAGTATCGTATATACTACGCGATTCTTCTTCAACGCGAACTTCGTTGGACAATTTGGTCATACTATACCAAGAATAAATTATTAAATAGAGAATTCTTTTGTAAAGCTTTTAGTAACGATAATGACTTAAAACACGAAAATTATAATAAAACTTTAATCGATCTTTACTATTATTCCAATAAATAAAAAGATTTTTTTTATATTTCCTACGATTCCGAGTTCGTAAAATACTTGTTCTTCTAAATTTATGTGTTCGATAAAATAAATTCTTCGATTCCGTAATTTTCAGTTCAATATTAAAACTTTTTATCTGCAGTAATTATCTACGAAAAATTCACAAGAATTCATCTACTTTTAGAACTTTAAAAGAAATCTCACAATTCTTTCTGAGCTCTAACCTTTCAATTCTAAAAAAAAAAAAAAAAAAACATACGATACGACAACATACGTATCGCATTATAATTTATTCCACTAAACCTGTGTAACTTGCAAGAGCAAAATCGTACCGATCTATCAAACTCGATCCTCGCTCAAAGAGGATATTTCCACTTCGAACAAAGAACGAGAGAAAACAAACGAATGAAATCGACTCACCAATCTTGACGACTGAGGGTAGCGCTGTGACGTTGAACAGCAGCTGAAGCACAAAGACGATGGCTACCAGGCAGCCTAAATTCATAGCTCATCTCGAATGCTCACCGTTGCGGCCTCTCTTGTTGGCCCTTCACACACACACCACCGCACCAATCACGTACGAGAGCCGCCACACACGACGCCCCTGCGCATTTACCTGAAAACAAGTTAATAAAGCTCGGATGAGCTTGCAGGTTCTCTGGTGCATTTCGCTGCTGCGACCGCAACGCGACAATCGCCGGAGAAAATGCGCCCGTGCGCGCGGCCAGCGATGACGTTAATGCATAAAGTTCGCGCGATAATGATACGAACGCGCCCAAACTCGCTTACGGTGAACATTCACCGGCGAACCTTCTCGTTTGTCTCTCGTTAAACTGACTCACTCTTTCTCTGAGATTTAATCTGCAAACAGCGTCGTTGTGCGGATGGCTGTAATAATTCACGTTTGATTACAACATGAATTTTAGACGCCTTTTTCTTGTATTTTACATTTTATCACGCGATGGATGGAAGTTAGCAGATCACGAATTTTTAGCGTGCAAACGCAGAGGTATTGATATTGATATTTCTTGCTCGAATTAAAGATTGAAATATTCGCAACAACAAGTCGTGGAGCATCTCATCCGCATCTCTGAACACGTACATACGTAGATATATATATATCGTTGAATTACTCGCATGTTTGTGAAACACGCGTAATTGCCAATCCCGCGTTTTCGATAAATAATCGCGACGCGGCGATGCAAAACTGGCGGAATAAGCACCGACTCGATATCACGGTCAGTCGCTTTGTGCTTCATTACAAGTCGGCCAGGTAATTACCGGAAATTAATGCGAACAGACGTGCCAAGCACGATAGAGCAAAATTACTGATTACCGAATTATTCGAGTTGAACCGTTTTATCCGGATACGTCGTTGCAGATTATTTCAACGAGAACAATCTTCAATGCAGGAACGTTCTCGTTCGATTTTAAATCAGTTTCAATTGACGACATTAAAATATCTTTCCTTTTTTTTTTTTCATCTATTTCATATAAATGGTCTCGCGTTTAGTCTTCAGTAAAAATGGCCAAAGTAATTGGCTCAAAGCACGAATTAAATTTGATAAAATTCTACATCACTACACGTTCGGACGTACCCCACTGATTGCGAGTGATTAAAACTAGAATCGAGACAGCGTATAAAAATTTTTTATTTCCTCGGGTGTGACGCTGATAGGGCTGTTTGAATGTTTCTTGAACCAATTGAAAATTTCGCGTTACAAGTCTACGTTGGTGCTACGATCTACTGCAGCGACCGAAAGCGTGCCAGGTCTTCCTTCGACGATATATATTTGGAACCATCGCGTTGGAAAGTAGATTGCGGACGTTTATTGAAACTCATATTTTTGTGAACATAACTGAAAGAATGCGAGTTTCACTAAGTAAATATCACGATGCACAAATTTTCACGTTTGCATTCTGCAAATTTTCGTACTTTCGGATTTCGCGTGAATGCATTTATGTCAGTATAATTGTATTATTAACAATAATTTGTAATGTAATTAGTAATTAGTAGCATGAAATTGCATAATTTGTGATATGGCATGAAATTGAACCACTGTGATCAATATGGTAATAATTAGATATTAACATTGGCGAGTTTATTGAAAAAAAAAATAGTTAGAATTTCAATAAGAGATTTAAGAGCGTCTGGATATTAAATAGTATAGCATATTCAATAATATTCAGAATTATGATCCCATTTCTAAGAACATAAAAAAAATTCTCCGCGCTTAGTGGAAGTTATAAAAAAAAATTATTACTAGAAATTTTCTATTATATCGTCCAACTCTTGTTCATCCGTAAACGTAAAACATAGAAAGAACCCCGTGATATTTTCACTTTGTGAAATGCACTACACAGTGACCCTGTGTATCTTCAAACTAGAGGCAATGCCTCTCATAGGTCCTAGAATTCTGGAAGCTTTGTTGCGGAATTTACATTTTTCCCACGAGCCCCAAAACACTCTCAAAGTCAGAATTTATCGTTACAAATATTCGCGTCCGCGCTCACGTGTATTTCCAACTCGCGAGCGTCATTCCACGCCTTGTAAAACTGATATTTATTCATCCAGTTTCAGCGTTTTCGAAATCATTTGCAGCGGTGCGCTACGCTGCGTCTGGCGCAAATGAAGCGTACGAAAATTGGTTAACCTTGTGTTTGAACGATTTCGATCGGTGATCAGCGACTTTTTCCAATATCCTCAATTTTTGTTTTTCTGTTTCCTTTTTTTTTTTTTTTTCATCATTACCGACCGATTGATTTAGATTTCCGTAATTATTCCGAAATTTCAATTTTTTACGCAAAAACGTAAAATGCTTGCCTACTTGAAAGGTAGTTTCACCCGACTGGGCAAAATCTTCATCATGAATTGAGCTACAAATTGTATTTTATTTATAGCCGGTAATTTATAATGTGTAATTTATAATTTGTGTTTGACAGCTTGCAACTTTGTAATTGATAACTTTTAATTTATAAGGCTTCACCAGCAATATTAATTAAATTACGCAAAAGAACCCAATTAATTATCAAATGTAACAAAATAATCAAACCAAATCAATCATGAAAGCAAGACAGCAACGAATAATCGAAACCAAATCAATAACCAGAGTGATATTTTTATATACTTTTCGTGTAATTTAAACGTCCTTATCTATTTGTGAAAAAACGTCCTTATCTATTTGTGAAAAAAAAAAAAGGAAAAGAACGATTCCTCTTTATTTTCGCAGTAACACGATAAATGATTGGGCGGTTGGCTATCGTGCGACTCGTAGATAGCAGGGTCGAAGAATTTGTCTTAGGGATTTCGTCCAATTTATTTCACTCTGTGTTCTAGCCATCGTGTAAACTAGTCCTCGCGTTAGTCACAAATCTTTGACGACAATCACCTTAAGTATTAAGTCGCATTTCTTTCAGAACGAAGAATTATTACATCCAAGGAGGGGGAAACTTGTACGATATGGTGTACCAGAAGAAAATCATGCACTCTACTTATAGTTAAAAACAAATGATCATCGGACAATTTCTTTCATGAAATTAATTTGCCAATGTAACAAATGTATACTGCACTGAATTATATGATTTGGTATTTTATTATATTTTTATTTCATTATTATTATCATTTTATTATAATGATTTGGTATTTTTATTAGTAAGTATGTTACATGGAGAAATATATTAATTGCATTTAGGATCTAAAAATCCATACATATCTGTTAAATTCTAAATATTTCGAAGAAAAGAAGAAATTTTGAATACATTATGTAATATCTTTTATTTTATTATAACTAATAATCGCATAAATGAATCAAAGTTTGTAAAATTTTTAAATTTGTTGCTTTTCTTGAAATATTTTACATTTTTTGTATCCCTTTAGATGCTTTTCTCTTTTTGGAATATTCTATTCATAAAGAATATGGGACATATAAAATACATAATTAAAATTTCAGTACCTATTTAATATAATTTTACTAAATTACTTAACACCTTAATAACATTCACTAAAATACAACATCCGTTTAGGAGAGCACCAGAGTTAATCTAGCTTCTCACAAACTTTTACTGCATTACATAAAAAAATACACTAAAATTTGATACAATAATTCTTTTAAAAGATAAATCGTTAAAGAAGCATCATGTTCAACTAGTTCCAAATATTACATTCATTAATAAATATTAATGAAATGACATTTTTATTTATTAAACTCTGAATAATTTTTTGTCTTTCAGATCGACCATATTCAGCAACCTGATACTATATGTTTCGCAAAATGAAAAAGTTACAGATCTAGACTCTCAAGTACACGATTTTTTTCTTATCATACCTATTTCCCATAAAAAAAAATAGTGTTTCAAGCTATAACGACGTATGTTAAGAACGATATCCTTTTCTTACATGCCTTCTCCATTCTTTCACATGACAATTCTCGAGTCTACAAAATTGCGAATTCGTGGCTGTGGCGGGGCTCGCGAATTCGATCGATGCCGAAAGTACCTCATTAGACATTGCTCAGAATCACGAAAATAAAGTGGAACAGCGTCAGTTGTCTAGCCGATGGTTCGTACAGCTAGTAGACGTTTTATTCGACTTTAATTCAATGTAACGATTGTTTCACGGGTCAGAAGGAACTCGTGGAAAGTTGCGTGCGGCTTCTTACCGTCGTTGTTCGGAAGAAACGATGCAACGACTTTCGGCCGGCGATAATGCGACTTGCTGCATTCGGGAATTGTTTCAGACTCCGCGGCGACTATCCTTCGGCTCGCGCTACTTTCGCGTTAAAGTTACGTTCTTTTTTTACGAGTTCGACCTCTGCCATCACGATCATTCTTTCCTGAGTAACACCAGTTACACGTTACAAAGGAAATATTATTTCCTCTGAGGAAAAATAAATGGAGGTTTCGATTGCAGCGAGCGGTGTTCGAAAAGTTATTCCAAGCAGGACGAGAGATGGAAGCATTATCACGTTACACGATTTGTCTGCCCTCGATGTTTAACTTTCCCGTATAAAATATTCAATTTCAACCTTCTGAATGTATCTAACGTTCGTGATTTCAGTATAATTTTTTTTATTTTACATTGACATTCGATGCTCTTCGACGTTCTTCGATCAATTATGAAAATCTTATTCATTTATTCCTGTAATTTTGCTGGTAGAAGGCGATCGTGTTATCCTTTCTGATTCGTATGGCTACACTATCCATTGTAAACAAGTGTGTGTTGATAAAGTGAAAAATGCGTCGTTTCTTTGATTAATAAAATAATGTCCAATCGTGTTCAGAAAAATTGTTTCGCTTTTTTTGGAAAATACTTTTTCTAAACTGTGTTTCTTTCTTCGCAACACTTTATAAAGCAATTAGTAAAACCGAACTGAACAAGTTTTAGAAATCCCTACAGTACAACAAAATTATGTTAGACTGAGACAATTCAACGACAATTTTCAAGAGTTTTGTTCTACAAATCCAATCAATCGTAATAATGGATTTAATTTCCATTAAAGACCAACGAAAATGCAAGATTTAATTTGCAATATTTTCTCATTATGAAATGCCATTCCAAAAATCTTTCTTATTACTATTTTATCTAGCCAGAATCTACAATTATATAAAATTGAAAGAAATTTAAATATTTTTAATATTATGATGAATTATTTCTTGGTCCTTAATCGTCCTTAATATCAACCTGACGCAAGAAGGATCGTTGCAAGTGCCATTCACTCTTATAAAATTCTAAATAACCACGTTGAGGAAGAAGAACTTTCTTCATATATTTTTAATAAAATAATAAACAAAATAATTTTCATGGAGAGCACGATTGCGGAGGACGGAGGAATTATCGCGTTACACGGCGATTCGTTTAACTCGCTTACTCGTGTTAACACGCGAACATTAATTGCTTCGAACAAAGTTATTTACATTGTCAAGCTGAGGATATTTCAGTGGAATATTTTAATAGAAATAGGAGTTTAAATAAACAGCGAACGAGAAGAGCGGACGACGACGCGAAAGCGTAAATTCCGTGGTGCACGTTTGCAATTCGAACGTCTCCGGTTGTCCTGCCTGGTAAGATAGACGAGCGGCAATTAGGTAACTGGTAATTAGGGCAGTTCAGCCGAGAACGTTACACACATCACCGACGAGCAACGTCTTCTTTTCTTCTTTGGATACTAGCCCATTGCACTATAATTGGTTGTTCTCGACCAGCTCTGAGTTTTTTTTTTTTTGTCTGATTTTGATATTTCGTCAATATATAATTGTTACTTATATTTTTTGAAAGTATGATACTTTTCAAAATATGTGCGCCTGAATCAGTTAGTATGGGTTAATCGTGACGAAAAAGAAGAAACAAAACTGCGAACTTTATAATAAAATAAATGGGTCTTAAAAATTTTTAATCGTTACACTACCTAATGTAGACTGAACCTTCAAGTACGAGAATACACTCAACACTGGAAATAATTAAATTACATAAACTACATACATGAATTTCTTCAAACAATATCGAACCATGTCATTGCATCTCGTAATATCTCCATACTAATTGTAAGACGTATATAATACAAGATTATCGTACTACACTCTTTGCAACTTTTAATGAATAAAACTGAATCACTTTATTAATTACACGAAGTCTTACATCAGAGATGGCTCAAGAATTCCAGGGGAAAACAGAGGCGACCTCATAGTCCAAAGGGCTAATTATTCGCTTTCAAGTGAACATAATGCGATCGTTAAACGGAAGGGACTCGGAATCTTAAATCTCCTCGATTCAATTTCGCAGTGTCATTTCATCCGACCGTAATTCGTAACCGCTATAGAAAACGTTCTAATCACGCCGAGGAAAAGAAGAAAACAAGCGATACGAAAGTTTGGAAAAAGAAAAGAAGGGGTGATCGTCCATCCCGCGCCACCCTTTGAATACCACCACTTTTCTTTCTCCTTTTATCTATCTGGCACTTCTATCTCTCCCCTCCCTCTTGCTCAACACGTTTGTCAGCCATCCTTTCTTTTGTGATTTATGATTGCTCCAAGCATCTTGCCGAGATCATCTAGAAAGCTTTGAGATAAGGAGATAGAGGAAACGTTAGATAGAGAATCGACAGTTCTCTATCTTTTTCTCTTCGTTAAATGGAAACACGCTTTAGAGAAAAGTACTACACTGGCTCGCGAAAATATTCGAGCACTTATTTCTATGTGTTCACTATATTTACTATATAAAACGTTTGATAATTCACCATTGCTTATCTAAAAATATACAGCGTGAAAATACAGATAGTGAAACTCTTATTAACATTCAAACACCATAGTATTGGAGAGGCGTTGAATATAATTGAAGTAATTAATTTTTAACATATTAATAACTTTTCATCTATAATTAATTAAGTGATGTTAAATAAAAAAACTATTTGATGAAATTAATAAATAAATGAATTTAAATTGGTATTGAATGTTTTCAAAATTATAATAATAAATTAGTAAAGTTGCATTAAAGAAACGAAATTTTACTTATTTAATATAATGCATTAATAATGCATATAATGTATTATTTTATTTACATGTTAATGTTTACAAGTGTTCGAATACATTCGTGAGCCTGTGCATTTGTCAGATAGAAATAGAAACAAGATTTCTCTGTCTTCAATTAAACGATAAACGATAAATAAAAGAAGGTCCTTATTGTAAAGTACAGTGTTACGCAATTACTATTGGCATGCTATAAACGAATTATAAATCAAAGTATATACGCATAAAAGAGCTAGGAATTTTACAATATTTCGTATGACGATCCATGAGAACTGATTTTCGCTTATGCGGCCGATTTCGCAAAAGGCTCGACAGTAGATGGTTACGTCAGCTCTTACAATAGCTCCATCGATTGCGAGCATTGTCCTTTTTTTTTTTTTTATCAGCTATGCTATCTAGTCACGTGCCATTGAAAGATTCGTAGAATTAGGCAGTCATATAAAATAAGCGGATAAAATATTTGAATATCGACATGGCTGAATATCAAATCCGGTTTGTGCTCGGCATTCGAAATTTATATTTGCCGTTTGTTGTTCCTTTTCAGTTCGCGTTCTCTCTCTCCCTCTCCCTCTATTTCATTTATTTTTTTCGTTTCAATGCAATACAACAGGTCGGAAACTTGTAGAAAATGATGAGCTTGATATTTCGACTCTAGTTTTACCGCTATTCTATCTTAATGTTACCACGATATAGTGACTAAGAAAAAATTCAGACCAGAAGGAAACGTTTCACAGCGACGCGAAGTCTAATAAAGAAATCCACCGCGTTCTTCCTCTTGCTTCCTTGTAACTTTCGTTTCAAAATTTGACATCGCGCAGATCATTTGAAGCACGATTCGTGGATCGAATTCTGCTCGAGTGGCAGTTTTATTGACTGTCAGTTAGTGGAGTTTCGTTTTCGTTTCGATTCTTCGTTCATCAAAATAGGTGTAACTAGTTTGTAAATACACTTCAGTTCAAAAGTTCTACTTTTGTTTTTCAGGTAATAAAATTTATAAATTAATTATAATTTCATTACTGTATAAAGTACTATTTAGTTTTTCCAATTTTGAAATAAATATATAAGCAAGAGTTTTCATTGTACACATTATTTTTTAAATTCAACTACTAATAGCTTCTAATATTTAGTAAAATTTATTTAACAGCGAGGTGAAAATAATATGAAACGCCCTTTGGTTCTTCAAAATACTTCAAAAAGAATTTCGAGAGATAAGAGATTATCCAATTTATCAAATGAAGTCAGATAAATCCCCAATAAAATAATCACAAAGATCAAATAATTCACATATTACTAATTAGTCACATACGTAACTGACATTCTACTTATTGAAATACTACAGACTTTACACTTTATTTGAATTGAATTAAAATGCACGTAATTTAAAGAAATATGTCTAAAGTAGTTTTTTTTTTTTTTTACTTACATTTTTTCAAAATATGAATTTGCATGAAACTGGTGAATAGCGAGAATTCGAGATGTAACAACCGTAGCGACGAGCCAACGGCGTTAACTTTTTCAAACAAATTGCATGGAGCAGATACACGCGGATTGCTTGGTGGACATCATTTGTGCCGGTTCGCTGGGCATAATTTATTCGCGAATTACGCGCGGATGCATCTGCCATGCAGGAAAGCGTGGTGAACGGTCAATTGTAAAATTGTTATTGGTGGTCTATGTCCGAAATACCGTCGTAATTTACCTCGAATCGTGGCTATTCCCTGCGACTCAGTCGCTGGTTAGAAGCAATCGAATGACATTAAAACTCACGCCATTGTTCCGACGCGTATTCACCCCGTGCTTTATCTACGAGCGATAGCCACACTACTACGTAGACTCGTGTAACCTCCCCACGCGTCAATATAAACCACGTTTCGCCGGACGAGCGACGAGTCACGTGGAAAAAATATATCGCCGACGAGAGGGAATACGGACAGCATGGAAAAATATAGTGTCAGGACATTTCGAGTCACGTAACCTATGGTCCTTCGATATCTGCTGACGCACAAATCATGTTTGGACACGTTCGTTTACAACAAAAATCGTGCCACCCGTTATTATGCGACCTCGCATATTTACTACGTTGTTTTTCGTATTCGAAGAATCTGCGTTATTGGAGTATTTACCTTTCGTTTTGTAGCCACACGCTTGCTGGATTATAATCTCTTAACCCGATTAGGGGTTGTTAAATGCGAACAATGTTTACAATGTTTACAATGTTTCACGGATTCGTGGTCAATAGACAGAAGATAAGTCACATTCACACGCGTAAACTAAATCGTATTACTAAAAGAATCACAACTAAGAAATTGAAATAAATTCGAACGCGAGAGGTTAGAGAAATTATTAGCTTCGTCAGATTTAAAAACTGAGATCAGAGCACTCTAGTGGATATTTGAAGAATATTCTGGCCCTCCCCCACACTTATATAACGGTGCCGCGTAAATTATTCGAATTCGCTACGTTTGATTGGTCAATTCGGACGCCATGTTTAAATTTAATTTCCAATAGTTAGTTGAAATGAGTGACTGTCAGTACTGTTCGTTCTGTCGTTTCGTATACTTGAGTTTTCACAGTTTCACGTCGTCCAAACACTTACACGGTTTGAAACGGTATAAAGTGTAGTACGGAATAAGCAAAATCATAAAGCGTGTAGCATGGAATGTACTCACGGAACTTCGCTGCGTGTGTCAAGTGTTGTGAAGTTGCTCCGCGGACGAAGAAAGCGTTGTCGTGGGAAGTCGATGGATTTATCGATGGATACGCGGCGATCGGTGGAGGATTTTTGAAAAGATGGACGCAGAAGGGCATGCGTGGTCGGTTTGAATCCCGCGGCACGCGTGAACATAACCTCTATGGCGGCCAAATTTTCATCGCGACGACATATACACAAACACCCTATCGAGGCAGCGGCCGGCGCGCGACTGCCACCGATCCTTCGGTCGCTGACTCACGAAACTATCCGGAAACGGCCGAACCACGGCTCGAGCCGGCCACGTGCTCCTGTGTCTGGTACGCACGCGCCTTTCCACGTGCTCCGGTTCATCCCTTCAAGAAGATACCTGTAAGTACTAGTCATTCTTTCTTTTTTTTTTCCCCTTTTCACGTATATTTTAAGATTTAAAAACACTACAGTGCTTTTCGACGGAATTCCGCAATTCCAATTTTGTTATTTCGACATTTGACATTTAAAGTAACGGTTACGTTCCCGGTCGACATTTTCATTGAAATGTACGAAACTTGAAACAACATAACATCTGGAATGATGTAACATTGGTCGTTTATTAATATAAAAATGAATCAGATTCATTTGTCCTCCATTTCTGTTTCCATTCCGGTGTTTTATATCGAATGTATGAATGTTCCATAAATATTCCAGATTATTCAAAGTGTCACACAGCTCGCACGCCACGTAATAATTCACGTGTTTCAATTGTTCAAAACAATATTAACAACTTCCTTCTTCTTACTCTCTTATTTCATCGCAACTTCGCTGCAGGAAACAGTAACGACTTTTCAAGTATCGCCGTAGTGGAAGTCGCTTTTCGCTCGGGGATGCGAGCGTTATTCAAAAGGGAGCAATAAAAATGGCGAGATTTATAACATTCTATTGCTATTACTATACAAAGTTTCTTGTAATTGTCTGCGTCGCAAATTTAAATTGATTTGCCCCTCGGTGTCGTATAATTCGATTACAAAATTCAGTATATATCGCTGAGATGACTCAAATGACTTCATTTTCAGCGAGATAAAGATTTCTCATTATTTACGCCAAAGATTTATAAAACGAAAGTGCTTACAGAAGTTTGTGGTAGTTTTAAAGAAACTCAGCAGACGTTGGGATTAATTAAAAGACAAATCTCAGAATTTTGTGTCTTTATATAACTTTGTGCTTTTTCTGCGCGTTGTATCGTCATTATGAAATTGTCGTGCTTATAAATGGAGAAATTATTGCACGTTGCTTTTGCTTTCGATCACGAAGGAGGTTGAGAAACGCAAACAGTTCAGAAATGCCAAGTTTTCTAGTGAGGAGACGAACGTATGAAAGTACTAGTTATTACCTCTTTTACTATTCATCCCTCTGAACGCATGCAGGAACACGCGTCGTAAACTAAAAGGAGTTTGTAGCAACTTCGTGCATACGTTCGTAAGGACCTGTAGATAGCATATGTTCCATTACCTATAATAAATATGGAATACGTGCACACACATATCTTGGATATTTGCATCTAACTTCTACACCAGTGTTATTGATAGACACTTTTATATGATCTTATATTTTTACAAATATAGCTAAAAGAATGAAAATAGAAACTTGTTTCTTCTATTGAATACTGTAATAAGTATTCTACTTTGGATATAACACACATTTTTGCGTATTATACACGTATCTTAGATTTTTGAAACTTTTATATTCCCAAAAATGCATAACATCCGCTATCTAGTTATTAATAATTGGAGAAAAAAATATTATATAAAAGCACAAATTTAAGTAAAAATAGAAGTGATTAAATACGTTTAATTCGTATGTTTAAGTATCTATAGTGGCTACAGAAAGTGTATGCACACATTGTTGTCTTCCAATTAAGCATCTTTTTGTTAACTTCTACATTTTATTCTCATATTACTAAATTTTTGTAGTCTCAAAGGAATAAAGTTACGTGTCTACATTTTGAAAATTTTATTTTAGTTACTTGTTCGACGATAGTACAAATATATCAAATAATTTCTTCGTAACAATTATTAGTTCTCATCGTCAAGTCTAATTCAGTAAGTAATATATAAATGCTGTAACAAATACAGTGGTGTGCAAATACTTTCGCAGCAACTGTAATTAAAAGAAAAGCATGAAACGAAGTTCGTTACGTACAGAAACATTCAAATTTTTGAAGATTTTGATCTTAATTATCCAGGATCCAAATTTCGTAGGAGATTAACAAACATACCGTTTTAAACATATTCAGCGACCCAGATAGGAATTGTTAGGGGTGAGATTTTCAGGATCTCACTAACTTCTTCGCAGAGCCAACTCCATTCCTAACTCCGTCTGGGTGTGTAATACCGACGGTGTGCAAACAGAGGAAGCACAGGAAGCAACAGGTCCCGTGATATTTATATTTCCGTGTAGATCAGGACGATCTAGCTGGGACACAAACCCGTTGATAAATTCTAGGTAGTTTCGAACTGTTAGCTACAATGCCAGGTGAACGAGATAGTTGCCTGCATATCCGGAGGATGGCGACGCACTCGAACTCGGCAAATGCTTCCTCTACAACTTTCACCGATTCTTTTACAGCTAGATCGACACGTGGAATTTCTTTTTTTCTTTCTTTCTCTTTCTCTTATCCAACTGTTGCACCTACACAAATAACCTGTAGAATTTTATAGCGTCGAAAATGATTTTCCGTGCATTCACATTTACATCCTGCTCTATATTTTCAATTTCCACCTTGAAAAATCACTTCTGATTCTGCAGCCTTACGTTTCGAATTTCTAATATGAGTTTTAATATCTTTTTTCATAACGAGAGACTGTTATCATTTTACAGCCAGATCAACGCGTGGAATTTCATTTTTCCTTCCTTTCTATCTGTTACACTTATCACATATGCTCTATAAAATTTCACAGCTGTGTCAAAAATACTATTTTCATACTCTCTATACATTTAAATCTTGTCCAACGTTTTAAATATCGATCTTGAACGATGGTCTCTGATTCTCCGGTTTTAATGTATACGCTGTAAATGTATACGCGATCTCTAGTAGTGAGAGTTTGTCATAACTACGCTATTCTCATAACCATTTCTCTTCAAACGAAGCAAGTGTAGAGTCAGGAAGGAAGAGGCTAGAGTGACAAAGAGAAACTACGAGAAGACGATGTTGCGGTAGGAGAGTTACTGGCACAAGACGTGGTTATCCCACTGCTTCAAAGCGAAAGCAAACTGCAGGCTTATTTAAAGCGATTACTTCCGTATCTAACTTCCGTTCTTGCCCGGTATTCCGTGGAATATCCGTAGGAAATTCCCGATGTTTTCCGTCTAGAGTTGCAGATGAATTTTTGTTGCCGAACAAAAAACACATTCTTTAGACACACTCGCGTCCGAACTCGTTGCATATAGTTGTTAGTACAAAACGAACGTTTGTTCGTATAAATTTACTACGACATTCATCGACGTAACAACATTTTTCCCATTCCTTCTTTCATGTAATTGCCGATTAATTAACCGATTGGTCGACTGGTTTTCCAAATCAGAATTCAAACAAATTCACTGAAATACCTTTTACACGGTAGTCGATTAACATGAGGAAATACAACTGCTATGCGCTGCATGTAATAGAAAGCGTTGCAAGCCGAGATATAATGGGGAACAAATTGCTGTTGCGTTCAACGTGTCGTGTTATGAGACGAACAGGACATAATATGCCTGATATAATTTATAACCGGCTCTAGGATGAAACTGTTCGTCCATTAAATACCATTTCCACGATCGACGCGCAAACGCGATGGTCGTCCTTCGCCCCGCAACAGTCAAACAGATGCGACCGACGAAACAGAATTACTAATTACCAGTCCGCAATTACGCGTAATTACGGTCTCGATGGAGGCTACCTTTTAATAACGATCATATTAATAGCACGACGTATAAACACGGCGTGAAAGTTTTTGAAACTTTGGAACGGAGAAGCTTTGGAACGTTACGCTGTAGGTATTTATAATAATCGAGTTAAAATAATTTTTTAGCTACTGAAAGCGGTAACCCGATTGAAGTACATGGTATACGCGTACGGAATATTTAATTTTCAATCTTTCATCGAATATTTTTATAATGTATTGTATTTCATAATTAAACTGCGCATTTTTATGATTATATTTATGACGTAAATGATAATGTAATGTTATGTTATATAACGTTTATTTAGTAGGTAAATAAAGATTCGCAGTCTATCTATAATCGTGTCAAATTAATTTTTTAGTAGTTGGAAGTAATAATCTAGTAGAAGCACTCGAATCAACTAGAATTTTTCATCGAATTTTTCTCCAATTATGTTACAATTATGTTAGGTTAATTTTTGTTAACAGTTGAAAATTGTTATCTAGTTGGAGCGCTTGAATAAATTGGAACACTGACACTGAACGTTTAATTCAAACGCATCTCAATCGAAATTTTTCCAAAATTTGCACGTCAGAATAATTAGAAACAATCGAACGAGCTGGTGCACATGTACCAAATATTTAATTCAAACGCATTTCAATTTTTTATTGAATTGTTCCCAATTTCATAATCGCGATTGAGAGTAAATTTTTAACGGGTTGGAAATAATGATCCTGATCAAAACACTTGAATTGACTGGTATCAACGTACCTATCAAACGTTTCGTTTGAACGCGTTTTAATTTCTTATCGAATTTTTTTCCAATTTCCATTTGTTTTCGACCGATCTATTTCCCGCGCTTTTCCAACCGCGTCGAAACATTAAATGGTTAGTTATGTGGAAGATAACAAATTAAAGTCCATATCCCAAAAAACATCGAGCAGACGTACAAACAGACGGATCGTTTGCTCATACATTCGCACTAAACTTTTCCCAGTGTTTCATTTAATTCTGCCACTCAATCTCATATATCACGGAAGTTACGCACTTTCCCCCGTGGAAAATAGCAATTCAATTCAGCTTTTCCTCTCGACTGCAAATTGAAAAATACAGTGAAAAAGCTTCCATGGAGATAAAAATGATACTTTCAAAATGATAATGGCCACGAGTATTAATAAAATCAACGCTAAAAAAAAATATAATATAATCTAAATTCTTTCGACTTGACTAGTAAACATTAACCACAATGAAAATTCAAAGCAAAATTAGAAAGAGCCATCGTTTCTTGTTTGCGCAGAATGATAGATAAATCATCTTTGTTTTAATCAGTGAATTATGGATATTTATATGG